CTATTACCACCTGGCCATGACGCTGCTCTTTCATCATCCATACGACAAGTCAGGTCTATGTCGTCTATGCAGCATCATCATATGCCTCCAATGTTTCTTGTTCCTCCAGAAATCCGTCCTCTTTCTTCTTCTTCTTCCGCAAGGCTGCCGTTTCATTCGAATTTCTCTACGAGTGCTACATCTTTATACTTTCAACACCCGGGGCAGGGAATGAGCAGCTCCTCATCGAGTTTGTTTCCTCACCACGAGGGCAACTGGCAATTCAGGCCAACTGTCCCTCATAATAATATAGGGATGGCTTCAACCTCTTCTTCTTCTTATTCAACTTCCTCTTTCACACAACTGGGTTCCCCCTATTTTCCTCGTCCGCTTCATCATCAGTATCATCACGACATGAATGTTGCTGGGCCAAGCTTAGATTTCAGAGTTGTTGATCCTCCCAGGAGGCCCCAGTCGGGCATTTGGTTTATGCTCCAAGCATCCCAAAATCAGTAAGTAATATTGTATCAGCATTATTAGTGTTGTTGGATAGCCGACCCCACTGATCATTCTTTCCCTCTTTTTTTTATCTTTTCTTTCTTTCTTCTTCATGTTAATTTGTGTTTAATCAATTCTCATGATAATTAATTGTTCCATCAATGCAGAGAAAAAGAACCGTTCTTGCCACAGATACCCAAAAGCTACCTAAGAATCAAGTAAACTCTTTCTATCCTTCATCTTCTGGGATTTAGTTAATCTGAGGTTTTTTTTTTTTTTTCTTTTTACTTATTTATCAATACGATTAATTTTTTTTTTTTTTTAATAATTTTTTTATGTGGGTAAATTTAGGGATAGAAGGATGACAATCCGGTTGATAAAGAAGTATCTGGTTAACAAGCTGAGACTGGATAGCGAATCAGAGGTATGTTTTCTGACCATTAGCAGAAAACTTGAAATTCATACTTAAGAGTTGATCATTAATTGATAGCTTGTAGTGCTGCTTACTAACTTAACATCATCGAGAAACATCATTTGTCAAGTAACTAAGCTAAGCTATGAGCACATGGTTGGTGTTAGAGACGTGACAGAAACAGCAGAACTAGAATTGGGCTTGTATATAGTGCTATTTGTTTCTTATGATAAAACCATATTTAGGTGGCGAGTATATTTCTCTTCTCTTTTTGTATTGTTCGCCTTAGCTTTTTCTGCTCATAACTATTTTCTAATAAAGGGGAAAAAAAAATTAGTCTTTCTAAATGGGTAATCTGCTTATGTTTAGTTAGTTAACTTGGTTATGGAATTAAGGGTAAAAGTTGATTAAGGTTAACTACTATCAAGTGCTTTCTTTACCTACCACCGCGCTATGCTCAAACCTCAAATCAATGGTAGAGAAAAATGAATGTCCTTTCGTCTTTGCATAAAAGTAGTTTCCTCTTTCATATCTTAAAATTAATGAAAGTAACATTTCAATGAACTGGCAATACCTGTATGGAAAAGCAGAATAAAGCACAAGCAACATTCAAAAAAAGAAAGAAAGAAAAATCTCTACATTACCATAGATAGAAACACCACTATGAAAGCCAAACAATAGGAATTCGACTACACACGCACACACTCGTATCTTAACTTCAAATAGATGGAAGATAAAGGAGAGTTGGGTGGGATTAAGTGGCTCAGACTGATCTTTTATATAAATTATGCGCAAATTTTACCTGAAGAGATCGATCTTCCTTTCTTGTTTATATGAGTGTGTCCTCTTATATAATCAACAACACCACTTTTTAGCTTCTTCTTTTTTCCTAGATCAGCGTACAACATATATATGACTCTAGCTAGGAGTTCTTGGCTTATATCTCCCACTGTCTCTCAAATCGTTCAGGCTTGTTTATATGAGTATCCTCTTATAATCAACAACAACATTTTTACCTTCTTTTTTTTTCCTAGAAGTTTGAGAGAAATCGATCTTTCTCTCAAATCGTTCGGGCTTCACCAGTCCTCCTTCCCTTCGGCGGTACTCCTTGGCTGTTTTTCTTTGTTTCTGATTCCCCCTAGAAGTTAATTTGATCCTCCAAGTGCAATGTTAACTGGCATATGCATGTTAGTTTCTTTTTTCATGTGACAGATCTCTAGATAGAGTAATTAAGTTTTAATAAACCTTAGATGTATGCACAAATACTAGTATAGGTGCACGAGTTGCATTAATTACACATAATACAGTGATAATGTGCATACTATTGCGGCACCATATAAGGAATTCTTCCAACACACACTTGACGATGAAATACCTATGTTTCCTAATAATTTTGCTCAAGTTAAAATTCCTTAAAACATATGGAAACATAAGTAGTCGTGTCATGTTTAAAGTGACCTAAGCTTTCACAATGAACTAAGGGTTTCTTAACGTACTTGATCATATTAATTATACCTTGAAATGATTAGCATACTCCACCCTTGCTATTAGCCAGCATTCTTAAATTATAAAATTGTTTATGCAACGAACGAGTAAACTTTAATTATTAATCACGGGTTTAATCAACAGCATGATGTGTAAGACATAGTTGCAGAGAGTAGACGAAATCTCAGTATTCAATAATAGATGTTACGTGAAGGCCTGAGTCATGATCTAAAGTCAGCTCTGTACATATTATATATAACTCGATGAAAATGCATGCATATTCTTTGTTTAGGATACATTTGTATTCCATGCATGCAAGTTTAAGCTATATATAATATTTATTAAGATATAATTAATATCTACTCTTTCTACATGAATTAAGAAACACAAGTCTTGTCATTAAAGAAAAGGTGCATAAATCTAAATTTATATTTCCCACAAGCAAATGTAACTGTATTAGTGTGGTCTTTTTTTCTAATTGAATTTTTTTGGATTCTTTAGTGAATATATTCAATAGAAATAGCTTCGTCGATAATCGAATAACTATGAATCTACTTAAAATTCCTCAAATAATCCATTATGAATTTACAAATGAATCGAATATATATAATTGCTTTGAATAGGAGTTGAAATGGTTAAGAATGATAATAATAATAATAATAATAATAATAATAGAATGAATTATTGCAGTATATCCCTGCTATTAATAAAAAAAAAGGACAAGAAAACGATATTAGTACTAATTTAAAAATAATAATCATGACCTAGGGAAATTGATATAGGAACCAACACAAGTATATCTATCAGGGAAAGAACAGGGAACCACAACTTAATTCACATTAAAAATAAATAAATACTAGATCAGCTAACGTGTTAGGCTGAATGGCTATGCTTATTAACTTGTCTTCTCTTGACCTAAATTATCATATTCATACGATGTCGTTGTAGCCTAATTAAATTTTATATATATATATATATATATATATATGTGTATGAACTGATCTGCATGACATACTCTACATGCCAATGTTTTGCATTTTGAAGTTCAATCATAGAAAATAGTTGTTGACTCTACATCTTTAGCAGTTTTTAGTTTTCTATTAATTAGAATATAAAAATAGTGGAAGGAATGATAAACCAACAAAATGTATATATATATAGGTCAAATGTTTTACGATGATTTGATGATGCAATTAATCTTGTTTTGTTACCTTATACTCCATGCCACCAAGTTAGGAGACGAGAGATGGAGACAGTATCTTATAATATTAATCATTCTCGAACAAAACAGTTAGCTATATGCAAAACAACCAACAATCGAACTCTGCAGCTAATGTTTCCATGCACCCCCTATATATATATATATATATATATATATATATTCATATCCCCCTAATTACAATTAAAACTTTCATCCATATCTATACCATATTAATAAAATATAGCAATAATTTAGGATGTGTGACACACTAAACATTCTCCTTGCTTTTATATATGTACTCTACATATAACCTAAATAACTTGATTGGAGCAATTATTCTCTTAGGAAATGTTTTGGGTTCGAGTCCTAGTATCCGTGTAGTGTGTGTGAGTTTAATTTGGTGTTGCCCCTCTCAATAGGAAATGTCTATAATAAAAAGAAAACTAAATAATTTTCATGTACTTTAGTATTATATAAGTCAACCTTACACCATTGATTTGGCAATTTCTTTTCTTCTTTTTGGATCCACCGCCCAGGTTAATTACACAAATTTTCTAGGGAGAAATTAAATTAAATTCCATGCCGGCCGGAAAGCCAACTCGTAACCTTCACACCTGGCATGCAACTAAATACCCAATGATTAGGTTTATAAGTGGGCATGAAAGATGAGCTCTAACTTATTACATTAAATACACTTAGTCGCATGAACCCAAAAAAATATAAACAATCTCTGATGATTTTAGCGTAAATTTAGGACTCTTTGTATCTGTGGGTGATATGATTCTCAGATGATCAACATATGATCTTTTGGGTTTGTTGATTTGTTTTCACACTAGCTGGTAGCTAGGCATGCATGATGCTCTTTGTGGTGATTAGCCACAATCCATGAGAATCATAAAAAATTATTCTTCTTTTTTCATCGACATGAATAACATGTATTTTGTAATTGCTTCATTGACTTTAAGTTGTTGCAAATCAAACATCTTCGATCATCTTGGATTATCTTGGCCAGTTGACACTTATTACCATACAATAAAGTGTCGATAATAACACATATCTGTCGGTCCAAATTATATTGTAGGGCCTCAAAAATCACACGTGGACCCTGTCGTTCTCAAAACCTCTTGCATGCGTTTGGTGTTCTCTCTCTCTCGTTCTCCTTCCGTCACGCTTTCGTTTCTTTCAACTCATACTCATCTTTCATATCCTTCTATTCCACAGCTAATGTAGGCCCTTCTAATTCGCTCTCTCTTACTAGATATAGATGCATTGTTTGTGCTTAAAAAAAGGCCCATCAAAACCTTAAGTGCTGCACTTTGATGCATGGAATTTAATAGACCCCATCCTCATCTCTACCACAATCAGCTAGGAACCTAGTTGTAGCTAGCCTCATTTTGATGGTGTAGGTTCGTCGTATTAGCTCGTTGTAAATGTTCTAAAAACCTGAATAAATATTACAAAATACTTTATGTCGGAGGAATTAAATGCACGGTGTTAGTAAGAATCATAATAAGAAGAAAAATAAAATCACGAAAGACAGATAAGAAGCATGAAAGTGAATGAATAGTTTATAGTTGGTGAATGCGATGCATGCACATTAAAGAAATACAAGGATAATCCTTGTTTGTTGGCTAATATAAAAACGACCTTTAAACAACTTGGTTTTGCCAGGTTTCAAGCAGTGTCTTAGAGATTATAATATTTATATTTTATTAGCCAGAGAAGATCCTGCGGTGGAAGCTAGTTCATGAAGGAATATTGACCTTTCAAATTAGGGTTTTCAGAAGCAACGTGAAAGAGACGTGCATGAAGATGAAATTGGATTGGAATAGTTAGGCTTTGGCCCTTTTGAAAAAAATAAAAGATCGATAGTGCCTATTCGTCGCCGTGCTTTTTGGATCCATTACGTGAATTGATTTTTATAAAAAAAATTATATTATTTGTTAATTTAATATTAAAGTCCAAAGCGTCATGATTTTGGCTTACCAGCAAAGTCTGAGTAGGTCCCCTAATCATTAAAACCGGGAAGTTTAAGATCGTGCGATGGCGGGCAGCCCCTCATAGTCGATTTTAATGCCTGACCGCTGACCGAATTTACTTTCTTTTCCAATATCCCTTATTTTCCTATGGGACAATTGCAATTATTACATACTAATACGTAATTTTTCGTTGTGTGAATGTTTTTTCTTTATTATTTTGGAATATAAAAGTTATCAACGTGGACTGTTGGGTGTGGGGCAAGAAGAATCTCTTGGGAGTAAAGATAAAAAGTTGAGAGAGATTTATGGGTAAAGCAGACGTTACAAAGATTTATATATATGGAACACAAAGCATGGAAAAGACGTAAGCTAGTGACAAAGCATGACTTCAACATTACATAATATTTGCTGATTTTATTTTCTCATATATATATTTTAAGACCTTTCTATTTTTTGATTAAAAGCGATAGTAATATTTTAAGATCTTTCTTATTTAAAGGAGCGTTGTTAATATACTAAACTCACACAACCTGCACGGATTTTAGGATTTGACTTAGAACCTAGATCGTTACGCTCTCTAACATTATATTTTTGAATAGTTAGATTTTTTCTTGTCATATAATCCAATATATATATGTTAATAAGAGACAAATGATCACTTGCATTCTATTTCCGAGAGTTTTTATAATATATACTCGATTACATTTCCTAAAGTCCTGGTTTAATATCTGCATGGCTATCAATTACACTTAGCTAAAAGAAAAGCAAAAAGCTAGTTTTCATAATTATGCTGTTCTAACATGCACAATTATTATAGCTGCACGTATGATATGATTGCACCTAAGAACTTCTCTTTTTTCATGCATGTGAAATCAACAAATATAGCTAAGGGGAGCCCATTACTAATAATTTGTTTCTGTTTGTCATTATATAGTTAGTAAGTAATTAAATTAATTAATGATTACATTTTATTAATGTACGCGTGTGTGTATATATACATATATAAGTATATATGTATATATGTATATATGTATATATGTATATATGTGGAGGTGTGAGAATTTGGAATGTTGTTGTGATTGGGATTGAAAATGATATGAAATTACAGGTAGAGATAACATGTAGAGGACAGCAGCTTCTGCCTTTCTTCACGTTGCAGCATGTAAGAGATAACATATGGAGTCTAAGGGAAGCACCGGCTTTGCTTCCAGACTCCTCAACCACAACCACTGATCATGTCATGGTGCTGCACTATGCTAGGACGGCCTCCACTTCTGCTTCAAACTGATCTCACTTTTTTTCTCTCATCATTTTATTTGATCATCATCGGGTCCCATCCATGTTTGCATCATTGTTTATTTAATTATGTAAACCCCTCCTCGGCCCTCTTCTCTTTTTGGCATTCTTTTTTTTCTCTTTAATTTATATATTGGTTTTCTTTTTTTTTTGGTTCTTTCACTTCTCTAATTGATGGAGAAAAGAAAATAGTTGGGTGGGAATACCCCAAAAGCAATGTTAATTATGGTTTTGGGGTCGAATAACATTAACCCAAATTAATGTATCTCAAAGCTACAGGCATGTCATGCTTGATATTTATTTTCCTTATGATTTATGTTAACTAGTACAAGCTCCAATGTGACTAAATTATTGACTGGCTTACATTTTGTTTTCCCTTTTGTTTGATTCATTTCTCAGTGGATACGCATCGATCCTTTTACTTGTTTCAATATTGCTTCATTTTGAATTTGAGATTTTAATTTAACATGTGTTGTGCTTGCTTTCCCTTTTGTTGATTATCTGAATCAAAGACATGCGGTAGTCCTATTGGATTTACAATATCTAAAATTTAAGAACTGTTGGGCTTGATTTCCTTGAATCAATAGCCTTTGCCGTGCTGGTACCTGAATGACTATAAAACGGTGAATTAGTGACAAGATGTACATGATGTGAATACGGTGATATAATCACCAAATAGGTCCATAATTTGATGATACAATTCTTGCAAGTTTTGATTTATTCATTTATTTATTTATTTTTTAATGGGGTTGTGAAGCAATAATCTAAACTAGTTTAATATACAAAATTGGGAATTGAACTTAAGTACAGAGGCAAATTGAGAATCGAACTTAAATGTAAAGAGACAGCGAGCACACTGCCCTAACTAACTGGGCCAACTTAGATGTGTTCAATTAATTGGCCGAATCTCTCATTATGCCTGTATTAGGCCACAACTTTAATGGACTTAACTTAATAATGGCCTCATGCCTTGTGCACGTGCCCAACCCAACCTAGATTCATTATATAAGAGTGAGTCTCACTTAAGGAACCTTAACTGAGGAACTTAAAATGAGGGTAGATCGCAGCCGTTGGATAAAATTGGACGGCTGGATTAAAAGGGCAACTTAAGTTGCATCCGGGTTGAAGACAACCTGAAACAAAGACCCAAAGCTTGACAAATACCGATGAAACACAGCTGGCTCTTCATTAAGCTTAACTCATCTGGCTCTTCGTTGAGCTTGGACGAGATTTGAGGGCAAACTCAACCAATTTGTTTCTTGACCCGCCTTGGTCGTACAGTCTGTGACATCATCTGAAGCTCAACTTGCCCAATTTTATCTCAACTCACCTTGGGAAGTGCATTACTAGTAAATGATTCTGAACATTATGTAGTTTTTAGTCAGAATTTAGTTTGGAATGTTTATGAATGCTGACCTCTGTTGGTCACCCAAGGGCGTGTTTCCACTTTTCTTTGGTTCCCTGGTTTGTTTGATTGTGAAGGAGCAGTTTGTGTTGTCTCCTCCCTTCTCCATTTTCATATTAAAAGTGGTTTTCAACAAAAAAAAAATAAAAAAAATAAAATGATCCAATGGAGATGGGGAATATAGTATATTAACAGTCGCTTAGACCATTTGTTAGGATTGCATCGAGTATGGTGGAGAGCAAAATTGTTGTAAGGTTAAAAGAACAAAAAATTATAAAAGTGTCTTATACTTCAGTGCAGATAGCTGTAATTTTGTTTATATGTTAAACAAATATCACTCAATTGTCAATATGTTGGTGATGAAATATGATTACATAGTGAATAGGTATGAAAAACTCCTATAATGAATATTTGTCTTATTGGTATGATTAAGAAATGGGCAATTGTTGTATTAAAAATAATTATTCTATATAACAACTATTAATTGCACCATAATTTATATGAAAGATTGCATTAAAATTGCACCATATATATTGAGAGCTTTTGTAAATAATGTGATTTTAATTGTGTTGTTGCAACTTTTAGAAAAATGGACGTGAATACAAAGGTGGAAAACCAAGTTGATGGGGCAGAGATGTAGAACCAAGTTGAGGGGGCAGAGGAAGATATTAGTCAAATAAATGATGAAGTGGGAGTGATACTGGTAGTAAGTATGAATTTGAAACCACAAGTGGGGAAAGAATTTAACTCACCTGATGATGTGTATGAGTTCTACAAGACTTGCATAAGAAACTCCAGGTTTTGTATTCGAAAACATTCAAGTAGAAGGACAAGATTTACAAATAAGTTAATAAAAAAAAAGAGTTTGTAAGTTGTAGACAAGGGTGTTATGAGCCACCCGAGGATCCTAAACCCATAAGAATGGGAGGTAAATGTAGAGAAGGATGCAAGGCAAAAGTTGTGGCCTCAAAAGTAGTTGAGTCTAACAAGTACATAATTTCTTGGTTCACTGAGAAACATAACCATATGATGTCAACCCCGAAAAAAGTGCATTTGTTGAGAAGGCACCGTATAGTTACGGAGTCTAAGAAGGTATTTAACCGAGACCTAGGTGCAGCCAATATAGCTACCAATCAACAAATGAGTCTTCTTGAGGTACAAGTAAGAGGAATTTAAAACATTGTGTGCACTAATAAAGATTTGTATTGTAACAACCCGGTCCTTAATTAATATTTAATTATTAATTTATTCTAGTAAAAGACCATTATACCCCTAGAATATTTTAATAGTTTAAAAGTTGACTTTTTGACTGAAAAAGGAATTTGGGGATTTCAGTTATATTGTTGCATAGAGCGCGACGAAACGAGTTCGTAGACACGCAGCACACTCAATTCCGAGTTGTACTGAGGGAGATACGGTCAAAATACGTTCAAGGGAAAAATGGTAATTTTGGAAAGTCGGACTTTTAAAACCCTCATCTTCTCTCTCTCTCTCCCCCCCCCCTCGCCCAACAGCACCTCTCTTTCTCTTTCTTCGAAAATCCGGCCACCAGCCACGGCTGCGAACGGGACCGGTGCCAAATGGACCAGCTCAACCCCAGCGTCACGACCCGCCCCTTCCCCGACCTCGGCCGCCGCTACAGCCGCCGGAAAAAGATGATTTTCAGGTCGGGTGTCGCTCGAAATTCGCTGGCTCCGATCTTCTTCTTTCGGCCACCAATCCCGACGAGTGAGGTATGGTTTCTCACCTATTTTCCGAGCTCTAGCTGCCTATTGGGTAGGAATTGATCAATTTGTAGCGTAGGCAACTTGATTTACGAATTGGGTTTCGGCCGGATTTCGAGGGGAGATTCCGGCCACTTCCGGTCAGTTTTTGGGGTAGGTCCAAGAACAAAAGTGGTTCCAAATAGGGTGTTTTACCTAAGATAAGAGTCTTGAGCCGAGATGATGAGATTTTCCGGCGAAGAGTTATCGCTTCGGGCAACCACGCGCTGCCAGAGCGTTTGGTGGCGTGTGGGCACTATAGCAGTGAGGCATTGTATCCCAATGTGATCCTCTTGTTGTCACGAGCTTGTAGGAATTCGCGGATATCAATTCGGATAACGTTTGAACCTCGAACGGATCTCGCCTAGTGGGTGATTTCCGGGTTCAACAGGTTTGAACCGTTGGATCGTAATCATGTTCCAGTATGTTGATCTAGGTAATTTCAGGATCGTATAGCATTTGACAAATCGTAAAACGGAGTCTCGGATACTCCAGAAATGTCAGCCATAGAGTGAGGTTTACAGTAAACAGTTCAGTTATAGATCATGAATAGAAGAAAGAACTACGTGTGGCTTGATCCCTCAGTAAGGGTACGTAGGCAGCCTACAATTATCAGACGCAGCCACGAGTTAGGGGCTCAGGGTTTATGTTATTGTTTTCAGGGCATTTTGGTCATTTACGACCCATGGTTACCAGGTGTCAGTTTTAAACAGGTTTCGACCCGGATTCCAAAGTGGAAATTGGGTCAGGTCGTTTCATGTATAATTGGGAGAGAGAACTTCATGTGAAGCTTATCGGGCATGATGCAGAGCTTTTAAAAGAACATTTTTTGGCTAAGGGAAAAAAGAATTATGGCTTTTACTTCAAGATGAAGCCAGATTCAGATGCAAGAACTAATTTTTTTGTGGCAAGATGCAACCTCAAGGTGTTCATATGGATATTATGAAAATGTAGTTGTTTTTGATACCACATACAACACCAACAAGTATAGTATGGTGTTTGCACCATGTTTGGGCCTAAAAATTGACACACCCCAGCCCAGCGAAAATGAAGCCCAAAATCTAAGAAAAGCCCAGCCCAAAACCTGGGCCTCACAGCCCCAGTGAGATAGAAAGGAGGAAGCCCAGAAATAGGAAACAACCCCACGTGACATCTCTGGGATGAAGGAAAGTCAACAATGGCAACTGTCATAAGAGAAGTGATTGAAAAGTTTATGCCATCAAGCTGTTCTGAAAAAAGCCTTGAAAAAATCAGAAGATAAAAATCCCCCTTACATATACATATATATATATATATATATATATATTAAATCAGAGATCTTTTTTCTACTCTACAGAGAGGGTAATTCTCCCAAAGAGATAAGCAAGCTACAAGCTCAGAGAGAGATAAGCAGGAAAGTAGGGAGCTGTCCAGAAATAACCATCACGGGTGAAATCTCACAAGGGGCAGTTGAAATTAAGAAGAGAGATTAGGTTCTTTCTCAAGAAAAACAGGGAAGTGATTGCCTATCTGTTGAAAGCCTATCTGCCAAAACTGATAAAATCCTACTTTCTTTCTTTCCATTTTAAAAGAGAAAAAAAGGGGGGAGATATCTTCTGAAAGAGATTTGCCGCCCATTATTAATTTTCACTATAAATACAAAGAGGAGTGAACAGGGTAAAAAAAAAAAAAAATTCATCACCCAATCAAACAAAGATCCTACACAAGAAAACCGTCAAAAGACAAGTTCCGCAAAATCAACCAACAAGCCCACTTGAATTTCAAGTGAAACCAGCTCCAGATCAGAATTCCCAAAATCCAGATTTAAGAAGCAAGTCATTCAAAACGAGATTTCTCTCGTTACAAATTTGGTTCAGCAAAAAACCAAAACAGGCAGGGTTTGAGTCTCCTCCAAATATGGAAAACCTCAACAAAAT